GAGGCTGAGATCTGAGGATCGAGGTTCAAAGCCAGCCTGGGCAGCTAAGTCTGTGAGATTCTTATCTCCAATAAACTGGAAGTGGCGCTGTGGCTCAAACAGTAGAGAGCTCTCCTTCAGCTGAAGAGCACAGGGACAGTGTCCAGGCCCAGAGTTCAAGCCTCACAACCAACAAAAAAACAAAACAAAAAACAATAACAAAAACAAAGCAAACAAAAACAACCTGCAAACCAAACCACAAAGTAACTGACAAATGCTCAACTCAATTATTTCAATTCTAGGTATTTATCCATGAGTATACTTATAAATGTGTAATTCACAGCAGCATTGTTTGTGACAACAAAGGTTTGAGCTAAATACATCATAATACACCTAGCACAAATGAGAGAAATTTTAACCAAGTATCTAGATACCCACAAGAAACTGGCAATCCTGGTTGTCTGTAAAGAGCTATGAGGTAGCTATGAGACCATGTTTAACTTTATGGATGTCAAAACATGGGGATATATTGATTTATAATATAGGAAGTTAAAATTTCGAGTTAATTTAATGAAAAACAGAATAATATAATGGATTTTTTTCTTTTGGTGCTGGGAACGAAACCCAAGGCTTTATGCATACTAAGCACCTACTCTACAACTGAACTATTCCTCAGCCCTATACTAGACTTTAAGAGGGAGGTTATATCAAACCTGCCAGCCGCTCCCTTACTTTGTGACTTTAATCTCTTTAAGCCTCAGTTTTTTTCATTAGTAATACAAAGCAAAATAAAATAAAACCTGTCATATTCTTCTAGATCCTAGAAATCATGAAGTAACATACTTTTTTCCCAAATAAATGCCAAAGAACTATGAGCTCTTCTATTTGAGAATATGAAAATTAAGAAGAATTGTTGTTTCCTTGCCTTTTGATAGCCAGGGCAAAGATGGGGAGGCTTAGCTCAGAAAATCTATTGGTGACAAAAGCACAGAATGTCACTGATCTCTGTACTGTTTGCCAGTACAGTTAATTAGGTCCAGCATCACTGAACCAGCCCTCCATGTGCCTTCTTTCTGCAGTGTGTACCTCTTTTAACACCAGTTCCCTGAGACTTGAGGTCTCTGGTAAACCCAGGTGGTATTCTAACCAAAGGCCAGAAGGGGCCACTGTTGAACTAGTCTAGGGAGAATACAAGGCATTCTTTTACCAAGTGGCTACTGATCAGGCAAACCACACCCTGAATGGCAACTGCTCTCTCAGCTACTGGCTAAGTAAGCCTATTCTAGGCAGGACAAACCTGGATTTCAATTTTCTCTTGAGATACGCTCCAAAATAGCTGTCACTAGAAGCCATTCTGTCTCTTAACAGATTCTCATTGCCTTCCAACTCTTTCCTTCCTTATACTGCTTATTTTTCTCATCTTCCAAAAGATTTGCAAGGCTGATCTCGTAAGTCCTATTTTTTTTTCCTCTAGTTTTGTCCTAGATTATACAAACTCCTCTTTGGAGCTTCCTTAATTTCCCTAGTGAAAACCTTGGAGAACAGGTGTGGGGAGTATGGGAGGATTAATCCTTTGTACCAGTACTGAATCTGATTTCACTGAATATGTATGTGTAGATTCTTTTATTGGTTTATCCTTTGTCCTGCACTGGCATGAATACAGTCAGCTACTTGTCTAACACGAAACAGAACAGACAGAAAGAGATAAAAGAGAAAAACAAGAGGTCAAATTAGGCTCGCAAAGTCTATCAATTCGTTTACAACTGTTTGTTCTACCTAAGCCGGAATAATTTTGCAAAGGGCTTTCTATTGTTTCTCAGTCAAGCCTACAAGTAGTACTACTACTCTAGGGTGAAAAAGATAAGAGGATGGAAAGATTAGGTTTAACTCTAATTCCACCACTACTCATGTCTTTAGATATAAGAGTATTTTTCAGTATCTATGACTTTAATTTCTTTCTTAATTTCTTCATACACAATAGAGCAGATCATCTTAAACATGAGCTTATTATAAAATTATATACCAAAAATTTTAAACATTAAATTTATTAGACAGTATCTTTAAATTAATTATTATTATTATATTGGTTGTAGGGCTTGAACTCTGGGCTTGGGCACTGTCCCTGCACTCTATCGCTTGAGCCAGAGCTCCACTTCAGGTTTTTTTTTGTGGTTTTTGGAGATAAGAGTCTCACCCGGGCTGGCTTTGAACCACGATCCTCAGATCTCAGCCTTCTGAGTAGCTAGGATTACAGGTGTGAGCCACTGGCGCCCAGCTTAATTAAAATTTTTTTGTTTTGTTTTTTGGGGGGGGGTCCAGTTGTGGGGCCTGAACTCTGGGCCTGGGTGCTGTCCCTCAGCTCTTCAGCTCAAGGCTAGAGCTCTACCACTTGAGCCACAGCACCACTTCCGGCTTTTTTCATTTTGCTTATGTGGTGCTGAGGAATCGAACCCAGGGCCTCAGGCATGCAAGCCAAGCAGTCTACCACTGAGCCATCTTCCCAGCCCTTAATTAAAAATTTTTAAATTTAGAAATATTACATATGTTTTCTCTTACCCAGACACTGACTCACATCTGTAATTCTGGCTACCCAGGAGGCTAAGAGCTAAGGATCACAGTTTAAAGCCAGACTGGGTAGGAAAGTCCATGAAGTCCTTATCTCAAAAAAATCTGGAAGTACAGTGTGGCTCAAATGGTAGAGCACTAATCTTGAGCAAAAAGCTCAGAGACAGCACCTAGTCCCTGAGGGTCAAGCCGCAGAACTGACCAACCAAACCACTGACATACACACACACACAATATTTCATGTATAATATATTACATATGATATTATATATATTCTTTCATTGTCTATCTATCTATCTATTCTCTTTTTTCCTTTTCTGTGTTAGTGTTGGAGATTGAATCTAGGGCATGCTAGGCATATACTCTACCTTGCAACCACACCCCCAGCCCACTGCACACAGTTTCATCTTTCATGTATCACAAATGGTGTGTAGATAAATCAGTAACAAGCTGGGTAATATAATCAATATGAGCAAATATGAGTGAAGTACTTAATTTTGAAAATGAGTCATTAGTGAGTAGACTTGCTTCCAACAGCTGTATTATCACCTTTAAATTGTGAACCCTGAACTGAACTGTGTGTTGGCATTTTGAAGTATGACCTGCCACCATAACACTGTCACACAATGTCACAAACAGCCTCTGGTTTTCCTGTTACTTCTCCCCTATTAGTCAGAAACCACATGATGAATCACAAGGGTTGTGATCAACATGAGCTACATCTAAACACATTGGCAAAAGAAAGCAGGCTCTTCTGTGGAGCTAGGCTCCTTTTCCTGAGAACTCAAATACAATCTACACAGCCAAAGGGCAAGGGAGATCTCTGGCCTGACACGGTCCAGCATGATTTCTATTTGTATCCCACTAATCCTTGGTTAAAAAGCATATAACAAAAATACTTAAAGACACACAAAAAGAAATCATAAATACACTGAAGACATACATACATAGATACATACACACATATATGTACACAGAGGTTTGTGACTAGAACAGCCTCTTGTTTTCTGGTGTTTCTCTTAGTCTACGTCAAGCCCTTCTTCTACAGAGTAGAGAGAACACTTACCAAAGTAATCAGAACTGAAAGGGATTGTAGCAAGCAAGCAAGAAGAAAAGAAAGAGAGAGACGGAGAAAGAGAATTGGGCAATCTACATAAAAATGAAACAGCTACCTATACTGATACTTACAGCAAATACACATGGAAGTGTCTATTTATGGTGATTCCCTAAACCAACTGCCCCAAACAGGAAGAGTATTCAGAAATCTAATAATGAGTTATGTGGGCAAATCTTAATGATAAAAATTAAGCACACAATTGAAGAGTTTGAACTTTGAAAATAATAAAGTGGGGCTGGGAAGGTGGCTCTGTGGTAGAGTGCTTGCCTTGTATGCATGAGGCCCTGGGTTTGATTCCTCAGCACCACATAAGCAGAAAAGGCTGGAAGTGGTGCTGTGGCTCAAGTTGTAGAGTGCTAGCCTTGAGCTGAAGAGCTGAGGGACAGTGCCCAAGTCCCAGGACCGACCAAAAAAAAAAAAAAAGTAAGAAAGAAAATAATAAAGCAAGTCTTTTGTAAAATCCTCTGAAATTAAAACATCAGTAAAGATAAAACTAAGTGAAAGATATCTTTCTAAATTGTGATATAATGTCCTCTTCGAGTAAAAAAAAAAATCATGATCACCTGATATAATGAAAGAAGATCAGAGAGGAAATTCTGAAGCTATGAAAAATGTGACAGCTTGATATATGATTTGGGTCTTTATAAAAAAAGACAAGATCATGAGCTAGAGGTATAAATAAACTAGGTAGAGTGCTTGCCTCATATGAGTAAGGCCCTGAGTTTAATCCCTACTGCCATAAAAATAAACAAGATCATAACCCAGAGATCAAGTGAATATATATAGACATATTATATATTATACATGTATGCATATATACATATAATATGTATACATTATATTATATTATCATTATATATTAATACATTAATTAATTTAATATATATTTTTTGGTGCTAGGAATTGAATCCTAGTCCTTATACATGTTAAGCAGGTGTTCTACCAATAATCTATATCCTTAATCCTCAAGCTAGTATCTTAACTGGTTCTGCTCCATTATATCTCAGAGCTGTGACAACAGCTCAGAAAACAAGTATATAATAAGGAAAAGACTAAAATTTTAATGCCTAATAGAACATCAGACAGATGGGAGGAACCCCTCCTTCAATTTGCTTTTACAAAGCAAATTAAAGAAAGGGCATAAAGAGATGGTAAATACCATGGAATGTTAAAACCTATAGAAAAATGGCAAACTATTAGGTACATATTTACTTACAAGGCGTTCCTTTGCTGGCTTCTTCCATAGTTACCCTGATATAGGGCTTACTACAGTCAACTTCAATTTCATCAGAAAAAGGAGCTGGCTGCCGCAAGCCCTGAAGAGAAGAAAAGTGAAGGTAAAGAAAGTTAATTCAGTGGAACACATCAAAATGCCCCCAAACTGGAATCAAGTCAATATGCTACAACTAAAATTCCTCATAAAACCTTATAATATGAAGCAGAAAAAAAATTATTCTAAAGTGACAAGTGAGTTTCAACATTTTGCAAAATAGGTAAATCACGGCAGGAGAAATATCTGCTGGTGATTTCATGGTAAAACTGAGCAGGCTGAAGTACCTACCTAGTCTCTAACTTCTGCAGCATGTCAGGATACAAAATTGCTAACATTCCAAAGTGCATCTCATACAATTATTTCAACTAGACACCTGGGAAGTCAAGCAGCTCCTGGGTGCTTTATTAAGAATAATTATCACCATGTAATACTTCATATTGTGAAAATATTCAAATGTTCCCTGGGAGGCAAGTAGTACTACAATCTGAGTCCCAATTAAAGATGAGGGAAACAAGGTTTAGAGAAGTCATCTGAATTGTTCACAGCTACTCAGAGGCAGAGCTGAAATAAGAATGGAGGTATGTTCATTTCTCTGTGCATTGCTTTACTTGAAAGTTTTTGCTAAATTTATCCCTAAGTTATTTCATCTGATACTACTGTGAATGGGACTTTTAAAAAATATTGTATCTATCTATTATATAGAAGAGCAATTGATTTGTATGTCTATGTGATTGCAATTAATTTCTATTTCTATGTTCTGTAACTCAGCTAAACCCAACTATTAGTTTTAGTAGTAGTTATGCTGTTTAATACATTTCTTAGGATTTTCTACATATGAGATATTGACATCTGTAAATAAAGACTGTTATACATTCCTTTCAAACATATTAACCCTTATGTAGTTAGAACTTTTGGTACAATACTGAGAGGTAGAGGGTGGGTTGTAACTCAGTAGCAAAGTGCTTGCCTACCAAGTACAACATAGTGGGTTCAATATCCAGTGCCAAAAGAGAAAATAGAATAAAATAACAAAACAAAAATAAACAACATAGAGAATTGGAAAAAACAAATACTCTTGCCTTGTGCATGCATGTAACAGGGGGAAAATGCAATCTTTAACCATAAAATGTGATGTTAGCTACAGGTTTTGGTAGGTTGTCTTTATTTGGTTAAAGAATCTCTCTTCTTTGTTCAGTTTGTTGAGAATTTTTAAAAATAATAAATAGATGACAAATCATGTTGAGCAAAATAAGCCAAGATCAGAGAGACAAATGGCACATGTTAAATTCAAAATACAATGAGAGGGGCTGGGAAGGTGGCTCAGTGGTAGAGTGCTTGCCTTGCATGCATGAGGCCCTGGGTTCGATTCCTCAGCACCACATAAGCAAAAAGAAAAAATCCAGAAGGGGCGCTGTGACTCAAATGGTAGAGTGCTAGCCTTGAGCTGAAGAGCTGAGGGACAGCGCCCAGGCCCAGAGTTCAGGCCCCACGACTGGACCCAAAAAAAAAAAAAAAATACAATGAGATATGACAAAGTAAATAGGACTCAAGAAACAAAGGACCTCTTCTTAATTTGTCAGATTTTTAGATGACTCTATGTTCTTTTTTTTTTTTTTTTGACTCTATGTTCTTGATCCCACATTTGGTATATACATGTGCACATACAAAGGAAGCTAGGAGGAGGGCACAGAAGCAGAAGGAAACAGGTGATAAAACACAGCAGAGGGACCCATCAGCTGTACTGGACATTGACAAAAGTGAACTAAGTAACTCAAGGGCACTGATGGGAGGGAGGGAACGAGAAAGAAAGAGGGAACAGCTTATCCTATGCAGAAGGAAAGAAATTTACAAATCATCTGATTTGAAAGAAATAGTTGTATTGTCAAAGTTTGTAGAGTTCACAAGCTTTATAGACCATGATAATGACAATTCACCTTGAGAAGATTAAAATGTGTTTGTGACTTTAGCTAAGTATCACTATCCAACAGTATTGTAAAATTTATGTAATCACTTAATCTCAATAAAGAAATTTAAAAAATAATAAGTGGATGATAGATTTTGTCAAAGGCTTTTCTTCATTCAGTGAAGTATTTTAGTTCTGTGCTTATTATGGTACTTAATTGATTTAGGTTGTTAAAGCAGCCTTGTATTTCTGAGCAAAACCAACTAGTCATATTTATGGTCTTTTTATATGTTCAGGAATTGCATATGCTATACATTTGTGAAAGATTCTAAACTATTGTTTTTACTGGTGGTATATGGTCTAGCTTTGGAAAATGGATTGGAAAGTGTTTAGTTCTCTTTCTGTGTAGGTTTTCTTATTGTTGTTGTTGGTCATGGGGCTTGAACTCTGGGACTGGGCGCTGCCCCTCAGCTCTTCAGCTCAAGGCAAGCACTCTACCAATTTATCCACAGCACCACTTCCAGTTTTCTGGTGGTTAATTGGGGATAAAAATCTCATGGATTTTCCTGCCCAGGCTGGCTTTGAATCGCAATCCTCAGATCTCAGCCTCCTGAGTAGCTAGGATTACAGGGGTGAGCCACCAGCACTAGGCCTCTGTCTAGTTTTTGTTTGCTTGTTTTTTTGTTTTTTGTTTTGGTCTGGTCGTGGGGCCTTGAACTCTGGGCCTGGGCGCTGTCCCTCAGCTCTTCAGCTCAAGGCTAGCACTCTACCACTTGAGCCATGGTGCTACTTCCGGCTTTTTCCTTCTTGCTTATGTGGTGCTGAGGAATTGAACTCAGGTCCTCAGGCATGCAAGGCAAGCGCTCTACCACTGAGCCACATTCCCAGCCACTGTTTTTGTTTTTTTTTTTAAAAGACTGAACCCAGGGCCCTACACATGCTAGTCAAATGCTCTACCATTTGAGCTATTATCCCAGGACACATAAACATACCTATACACCCATAACTCTTTTAATTTCAGTCCACTTAAATTCGAAATAAATCATGACATGATTAAGCTGAATCCAGAGACTAAGGAAAACATCCTTTTGTTTTCAGATAAAAATATTTTTTTAATTATGCTACAATATTAAAACGCTTTTTAGTGGGGTGTTGGTGGCTCACACCTATAATCTAGCTACTCAGGTGGCTGAGATCTGAGAACAGCAGTTCAAAACCAGCCTGAGCAGAAAATTCTGAGTTTCCTATCTTCAATTAACCAGCAAAAAGTAGGAAGTGAAGGTGTGGCTCAAGTGGTAAAGCGCCAGCCTTAAAAAAAAAGCCAAGCAAGAATGCAAGGCCTAAACATTGTACTCATTATGTGACTTATGGAATTGTAACCCCTTTGTACAAGTCTTTAGTAATAAAATTTTTTTTAAGTATGACATTTTGATTTTGTTTTGTTTTTTTTTTTTGGTCTGGTCGTGAGGCCTGAACTCTGGGCCTGGATGCTGTCCCTCACTCTTCAGCTCAAGGCTAGTGCTCTACTACTTGAGCCACAGCGCCACTTCTAGCTTTTTTCTTTTTTCTTATGTGGTGCTGAGGAATCGAACCCAGGGCCTCAGGCATGCAAGGCAAGCGCTCTACCACTGAGCCACCTTCCCAGCCCTAAAGTATGACATTTTGAGTTCAAGCCCAAATACCAGCACAAAAACAAAAATAACAAAAAAACTTACCTTTATTTATTTTTTATTGTGAAAATAGTTACATGAGCAAGGTAATGAGTACATTTTTTATCAAGCATTGCTGCCTCCTTCTTTGTTTTTCCCCTACCACCCCTTCCCTCCCACTTCCACAACTACACCCCTCCCTCCCGCAAATTTTTTAAGTAATAAGACCTCTATATATCCCAGGCTGACCTTAAATGCGGGGTCCTCCAGCCTCAGCCTCATAAGTGCTAGATTTCAGGTGGCATGTATTACATTTGGCCTAGAATTTGATAATGGAACCTTCTTTTAAGATGTGGTAAAGATATAAGTGAAAACATTCATTTTTAGAAGATATGTGTATGTAATCCTTGGAACACTTCCGTTAATCCTAGATACTCAGATGGCTGATATCTTAACCAAGTGCTGGTAGCTCATACCTGTAATCTTAGCTACTCAGGAGGCTGAGATCTGAGGATCAAGGTTAAAAGCCAGCCCTAGCAGACAAATCTGAGACTCTTCTGATTAATTAGTAGTGGGAAATTAGTAGCAAATTAGTAGTGGGAAAATGGGAGAATGAACTCTAATAGGTATGGAGTTTCTCTTTGGGATGACAAAGAATTTTGATGATGCTTGAACAACTATGAATATATGAAACTGAAGAAAGAAATCTTTTTTTGTGTGCCAATCCTGGAGCTTGTAACTCTGAGCCTTGGAGCTGTTCCTAGGCTCCTTTTACTAAAGGCTGGAGCTCTACCAGTTTGAGCCACAGCACTACTTCCGGCTTTTTCTGTGATCAATTGCATATAAGAGTCTCACCTCACAGACTTTCCTGCCCTGCTTGGGCTGGCTTCAAACCGTGATCCTCAAATCTTAGCCTCCAGTATAGCTAGGATTACAGGCGTGAGCCACCAGTGCAGAGAAGAAAGCTTATAAACAAAAGTGCATGCAGATAAAAAAAAAAAAAACTAGGCCTACTGTGTCTCTAAAAATTAATGTCAAAAGTGTGTTGGAGCCAGAATAGTAAATATTCAGGAATTTTGTAGGTTGCTTATCATACCTCTAATGACTTGAAATCAGTCATAGAAATCAGCAAATACTATATATCAGGGATATTTTTCCCCCTGATGAGCTAGGACACTACTGGTTATTTTGCTTACTTAGAAAGAGATCAGCTATGTGCTGGTGACTCATGCCTATAATCCTAGCTAATGAGGAGGATGAGATCTAAGGATGACAGTTCAAGGCCAGCCTGGGTAGGAAAGTCTGAGTCTCTTTATCTCCAATTAACCACCAAATATCAGGAAATTGGACTATGGTTCAAGTAGAATGTCAGTCTTGAGTGAAAAAGCTAAGAGATAGCATCCAAGGCTGTGAGTTTAAGTCCCACTACAGAAGAAAGGAAGGAAGGAAAGTAGGTCAAGAGGGTACTAGTAGCTTATGCCTACAATCGTA